TTAAGTATTCCGCAATGCCCACCGCCACCGGCTGTGGTTAAAGAACAACATAACAACTGGATTTTACATTAAACGTTGACATAATTACTTAATTACGAAAACAATAATCTTCACGTGGCTTTTGTCTTTTTTTTATGTAAAAACGGAGAAAGTCTCCATGCAGTGTGTCATATATCCACAGTTTGAATTGGCCTGTTCACCGAGATCCCTCCACATGTCCACCGCCTCTCTTGATGCATTTCTTGGTGCCACAGCCAGAAAACATTTTACCCTTCCTCAGTCAATCAATGATTGCTCAGCCAATGACTTTCATTTGGTAGCAAGTTTAGTGCATTTTACACGCTACCATATGTATGGGCCTATAACTGTTGAGTTTTTTCGAGGGACACTCTGCACTAAATTGAAGTACTCGGTCACATTCCTATACGTTGATTATACCTTTTTACTGTCGTGAAACCATATAAGTATATCAGTTTTTATATGCAAAAATAGACGTACATGGAGTTTCCGACACAGGTTTTGTGAAAATGGGGGCCCGATGGATGAGGTTGGGCGCGTTGCTGTTTACAGATACCAAAAGATCTAGCATGTTATTCAGAAAGCATATCTACTCAGCTTAGGGTCTTCAATGCATCGAGGTGTGCCCTGGTAAAATTCAGTCACTTAGTTTTGTCGGTTTTGTTTATTTTTTGCAACTTGAATACAGACCGTGCCTCCAATTACTCCTACTGTGAACTACCAGATTGGCACTGTTGTCCCGCCGCCAATTCAGCCAGCACCAATTTATCAACGTGAGTACCACTCAGCTCAATCCAATGTTTACCAGCAGTGAACTTGGAGTCAAGTCCGTGCTCTGAAGATTAAAGGGTTTATTGACATGTACTTTGCTTATTTTTTTCACACAGAGGTATTGGTAAAAAGCGAATGGTTCTTTTCAGAACCATTCTCTTAGTTGAGAAATTATTCGCACATGGTGTTTCCGCAAACCTTTCATCATTTAGTATCTCCACCATGCAAAGCCTCAAATCTTACCCATCATTGATTGGTTATAGCCAAATGGATCAGTTTTTTTTAATGTTTTTTTTATTTCCAGCTGCTGCCAACCCATACCCAGCTGTTCCCACTGTCTACCCAGCTGCACCTAGCTACCCAGCAGCACCCAGCTACCCAGCTGCACCCAGTTACCCAGCAGCACCCATCGGGTACCCAGCTCAGCCAGCATACCCAGCTGCGCCGGCTGCCCCTGCTTACCCAGGACCTGCTGCATACCCAAACCCCTACCAGTAAGTGCCAGTGAGTATTTTACGAAACCCATTTAACCAGGGGCACCCAGGAACCCAGTCCACCCAGTTAGCAAGCACCAACAAGATACTCTATACCAAAAGATTCTCTATATCGCCTTTAAAAACGGGCATGAAATCCAGAGTCACACTTGGAAAGAAATTGTCCTGAAGAACTGGATTAGGTATACAATTCACAAATTCAAAGGCAACATTTATTTACATACTTTCCACAAGTAAGTCAAACTAAGTTTTCAAATAATAAGAAGGTAATTGTATAAATTAAATAAATAATAAAACAACAATGAAGTGCAACGACTAAATATATTAAATGAAGGTGAAGTGTATCGGGCTGTTCATATAAACCAAAGCTTGTCAGCAAAACGAAAACAAATCACATAGGGAAGTGTGTGAATTGTTTTCGTTTTGTGGACAGAACCTTGAAACGTGGTTGTGTTTAAAATTCCGTAACTTGAAAAGTACATAAGTAATTTGAATGATTCTGGTACTGAAAGAAGGCTTATGAATTGGGCTTTTATATCTTTGATGTTGAAAGTGCTACATGCAGAACTTCAGTACAACAATAGTCCCGACATTTGGGTTTCGTTTTTTTTTACTCGCCCTGAACTAAGGCGATTTTAATGGAGGTAGGAAAGCCCCAATTAACGTTCATTGTATTTGTTTTCATCAATGCGCATCGGTAAATGGGCAGTGATATGGACAGCTGAGTTATGTGGTATCCCCTATTTCTATTAAAACAGAGATAACTTTTGAGTATAATGTAATTATACGTTATGTTGCGTTACATTTTAACAGTTTTTAGTCAATGACCTGTACTTTATTCCTAAGGTACTTTTTGTTCAATGTAACAAATGAGCCACATATTTTTGAACATGTTTTTTTTTCTTACACGTGCGATATGTCATGCACTTAACAGTTCTAAAGAAGCCATAGAAAGTTGGTAGCGACTGTACTGCTCCAACGTTTGGACACAGAAGACACTAACACTGAATCATGCACCATTGGTCTTGTAAATGTATCTGCTTTGATGCAGAAAAATGACTCCATCTTGTGTCCATGCACCCCCTCGTTTGTTTGCTACAAATGTGATCTGGGTGCAGAAACATTTTACCACTTTATTCCCAAAATGAAATTCGATTAAACAATCCCTAATGATTTCTAGTTTCTAAAATCAATGTAAAAAAAAATACTAGAGTACATCTTATTATCAGGACTTTACACGTCTGCTTAGTAATCACATCGTATTTTATATTTTATATCTTTTGTGAAAAATTAGCTTAAAATAATTCAAACACTACTGCTGATATCAACATGTGTAACTCATTTTGAAACTAACGAACTTAAAAGTTAAAGAACACAAAGCCAAAAAAACCTCTCGCATATTTTATACTGCATTGAGAGATACTTAAAAAGTTCACATGAAATGTACAGAAAACTAATGAATATCTTTATATTGTTTGCATTATTATGTTTGGATGTACACGTATTTGTTATTTGGTACCATCGTTGAGCAAGACATATATATTTTTTTCAACGGTTTTAAAAAAAGGAATAAGTTTAAATACTTGTGTGGGTCATATGGAACGTTTTTAATATTGGTATTAGTGTTTTATGTCACTGTGTGGATTACAATATGCCAATTGATACAAAATGAAATATTTTGTAATAATTTGAAAATTTACATTTCTATATACAGATATTGATTAGTATGTCTGTTTGTCTAATTTGCATGATAGAAATGTAATTTATATTCTAATCTCGTACTTGTATACATGTATAGAAAAGAAAATTCAAATAAAAAGAAACGGTATAAAAAAAGTTCACAGAATTGGGCTTCAACCTTTAAAGCTTAAATTTGGCCTGCCCATCATCGCTTGCGAGTCTTTTTGGTGGCCAATTCATTTCACTTTGGAAACTGTTATCAAATCTTGTTACCAAACTGAACGCCGCTGATGTACACGGGTACGATGTAGGCCTGCCTACTTTCAGTGGTTCGACGATTGAAACGATAATCGATAAAAAAAAAAAAAAATCCAATCAACGAATAAAGATAGATACAATATCTGCAAAGAATTTTTGACAAAGTAAATTTTCACTTGGCCGACAACACCTTGCAGCATTAAATACTCATTTAATGTCATATATTAAGTTCATTTTCAGAAATATTTGAATGCACATGCACTAAATTTGGTGCTCCTTAAAAAAAAAATCAATAGTCCCTACTACTTTACAAAATGCGGGGGGGGGGGGGGAAGAATCGAGATAGAATTCAACATAAAAAAAGGAACAAAAAAAATTACGTTTAAGCCTTACAACTGAGAATCGCAAAACAAACAGCCAAAGTAGGAAGAAATGCACTCTTAAGATTCTAAATTCTACTAATTGAAAACGAAAATTATACAATTGAAACGGGAAAAAAAATACAGTTGTCTTCGTTCATAACGAAAGTCTTCAATCAGAGGTTATGTTGTGACTGGAAGTCTCGTTTTATGCAAAACACTTTTTGTTCAACTCTCAAATAATGAATGTACCTCGTTATGCCAGAGCTTCGAAAAGTACAAATTCGTATGAGCTTAAAAAAAAGCAGTATTTGTATAGTGGAACACACCTTAAAGATATTAAAATGTTTGGCTCATAAAATGCCTTAAAAAGTATAGAAACCGAATGGGGGATCTACCGAAAGAACTTATTCTAGTTCTACATCTAAATCTTCATGCACTTTTCCCAATATTAATAAATACAAATAAGCAATTTGAAAACACTACCTTCGGTTTTAAAATTAAGATTTAAAAGTCACAGAAGGTGGCAAATACTGTTTTTATACACACAATATTGTTTTATAGCATATTAACACTTAGGAAATCTTAAAAAAAATATTTTGCTTGGTACTACAACTACATTGTGCTCATCAACGTTGGATCCTGACGGCTCTATAAGAAACTGGCCATGTTTGTGTGATCTCATTGTTTAAAAAAACAGCATGGAGTTAATTTTTTCAAAAAAAAAAAAAATCATGGACACGATGCTTAAAAGAACAAAAAAAGGAATTTCCTGTCGATGAAAGAGTACGGAAATATTGATAACTATGCATGGGGAAAAGACACACCCTTTTATTTGGGCGGGAATTCTTGTAGCAGTTAAGATCAAAGCGAGACTATGATCGAGTAGTTTGGTGATCTCTGAAGAAGTGAATTGTAAGTTTCACTGTCTTTTGGTAAAATAAAATGCTCGCAAGTACTAAAACGCCTCTTTTTGCGCATAATGCGATACAGCTATGGTCTAGATGAGTATAGGGCCTAGCCCCGCCTTTAGATCACGTCAACGCCCTCATAAAAAATTATTCGCGCGGGTGTGCGAGGGTGGATCCAGGACTTTTTTGCGGGGGGGGGGGGGTCATGCCCGTCTCTCAGATTTTTATATGTCCGATTGTGGCATAATAGGTAAATATTATTACTATAATTGTTATATTATTTTTTTGTCAGAGCAGCCAGGGATTCGACCCCCCCCCCCCCCCCAAGGTATAGACCACGTGGAACAATTGCCAAGAGTGGCGGGGTATTCTGCACAGACTATAGACGTCATCTCTCACATTTTGTTTGGCCGAATGAACAAATAAATAAAAACGAGACAGTCGGCCTGATTCACATCGGCGCCGCAGCGATGTGATGATGAATAATCTTCATCAAATGAAACGCGCCCTCTCTAGATCTATTGTAACTCTGCGTGAAGCATATCTTTGACGCAGATTTTCGAGCTCAGCCAGACTGTTTCGTAGCCGACAGTTTTCTCATTATTTTGTGGTTTTGATTTCATCAGTAAGGAGTCATCATGGCGCGCAGACATGAAAGGGTAAGGGCTATTCCGTACAAAATCATTGTTAATCTCCCTAGTGAGAATTTAGGTGGATTTTCTACCAACGGATCCATCCCAACTTCAAAATGAAACAGCGAAATTGTATTGCACAATGGTCACATGATGTGTATTTTTTTTGTACATGGGGCGTGATGAACTCTCACGTGAACCATTCCCTCCGCATGATGTTGGCTCAGGCGTCGGGGCGGGGGCACTGCATTGGGCCATAGGTTTCAATGCAAGCCCAGTCTTGAAAAAATGCGTTGTTGCGCGTATTGGCCTAGCTTAGCCCCATAAATGTGGCCTATTTACTGGACTGCCTCCGTAAACATAGGCCACACATCCACATGTACAAAAATCGTGTCGACGGAGCCAAATTTTGATTTTCACATTTAGGCTTAGTTTGTAGGGTTTTTTTGCTTTAGAAGCATACTCACCCTCTTTATAGGCTAATCAGAAAGTGCTGCCTTTTTCAGATGTATATTTTTCGTGAAATTTCCAGATTCATTTTTACACGTTTGCGTATCAAAATTTCAACATGAAATTTCACAAAAATTAGACATCTGAAAAAGGCAGCACTTTCTGATTAGCCTGTAAAGAGGGTGAGTATGCTTCTAAAGCAAAAAGTAGTAAGGGAGGCGGGGGTGCTGGACTTTTGTCATAGGTCTGTGGGTAGTACAGGGCCATTAATGAGAAGTCAGGGTACCAGACTTTGTCATAGGTCTGTGGGTAGTACAGGGCCAATGGGAAATCCCCCGATCTCAAGAAAAAAAAAAAAATAAAAAAAATAAATCTAACGGAGAGAGAGAGAAAAAAAAAAATATCTGACGCCGGGAGAGAAAAAAAAAAAAAAAAAAAAAATATCTGACGCCGGGAGAGAGAGAGAAAAAAAAAAAATATCTGACGCCGGGAGAGAAAAAAAAAAAAAAAAAAAAAAATCCTGACGCCGGGAGAGAGAGAGAGAAAAAAAATAAAAAAATCTGTCATCGCTAAAATGAGGTGATGTCACCACCACGTGACCTTGAAAAATGTGGGAGTCACCACCACGTGACCTTGAAACGTGTTGAGGCACGATAAAATTTTGGCGTAAACAACGCGACCTTGAAACGTGTTGAGGCACGAATGAGGGGAGTCTAATTATTTATAAATCTAAAGTCTGTCTTCCAAAAAAAAATGAGAAAAAAAATATTATATTTCCTATAATAAAATGGAGAGTAATATGTTTAGACCGACCGTCAAAGGATATTCTAAATGGAACAAAGCCACACTGCGTGATTACGTGCAGCGGTATAGTATACCACACAATGAAAATGTTTCTCTTACTCGTAAAGTTTACATCGAGGGGATAAAACATTATGAAAGTCAATTTAAAAACTTGAGGAAAAAGACACTACATGAGCTCAAACAGATTGTAGACGAACACAATCTAGAATACGTACCGACGGGTTATAAAGGACGAGTTTTGAAAAAAGATTTAATCTCGGCGATTAAAACATACAGACAACCCGAATACTTTACAGAGTCAGCTTTTAGAGAAACGAGAAGGTTTAGAAATTACTACAGAAACTGGGAATTAAACCCCAGACTTTATAACCACGATTTAATCAAGTTTTTTGATTCGCACAAGGAACAAATAGTCAATAAAATCAAGTCTGAATTGAGAGAGCTGAGAGGTTTAAAAATGGAGCTCACAATCAAAATAAAATACGAAAAAACCAAACCGGATGGTACGATCGAAACGATCGAAGCTATTCATTATAGCAAGCAAAAAGCCGTTTTAAATCAAAGTCAAATAAAACAGGCTTTAAAAGAAGAGATCGAAGAGCTATTCAAAAAGGATGAAAGGTATACGAATCAAGGATCGGGTTGGGTTTTAAAAAAGATAATGGCGTTATACATCAACATCAACAGATATAATCCAGCGAGAGGTAGTTCCTACATAGACCTACCCGAATATCTTAAAATTAAGAAGGCGATGATCAACATCAAAAACAAAGACGACGAGTGTTTGAGATGGTGTTTGAGAGCTGCTCTTGAGTTGTATACGGATAAAGTAAAAAATCAAATAAGAAATAATCCTAAATATAAAATTCATAAAGAAGAACCCGTTGTATACACCAAAGACGACGGACTCAGTTTTAAAGGCGTTGACTTTCCAACACCGGTCGATCAGATACCCAAGATAGAAAGACAAAATAATTTATCGATAAACGTATACGGTTATGAGGGTGAGATATATCCATTATACGTGTCTAAAAACTACAAGGGGAAAGAGATCGATCTGCTTTTGATTTCTAAAGGTGACAAGCATCACTATTGTTGGATAAAAGATTTTACGAGGTTGATATACGACGTTACGAAACATAAATGTAAGAAATATTTTTGTCGAAGATGTCTTTGTCATTTTACCAATCAAAACAAATTAGACAAACATATCACCGATTGTAAGGGTATAGATACACATCCATCAAAGATTGTATTTCCTCTGGGTAAACCAAAATACATAGACGGGCAACCAAGTGAAGAGAGAGACGTACCGATATTAGAATTTAAAAACTATAGGCACAAACAAAAAGCACCATTTGTCATTTATGCCGACTTTGAATCCATATTACAAACAACAACATCCACAGATAAAGAGACAAACACAAAAAAGATTAACGTTCACAAAGCTAGCGGTTATTCGCTAGTTGTCGTCCGATGTGACGGTAAAAATGTGTATCAAGAGACTTATAGAGGCAAAGACGCTTCAACTAGATTTATAACGACGTTGTTACAATTACAAAGCGATATTAATTGCATATTTGAAAAACCCCAAACCATGAAATTTAACGAGCGAGCTAAAGAACATCACGATACAACAAACGCGTGTTGGATTTGCGAGAAACCAATTTATACCAATTATTCGAGCAACTGTCAGTGCCAGAACCCCAGAGAACCCAAAACGATAAAACAAATAAAAGAATATCAGTGCAAAAACAGTAAGGGATTTACCGAGTCTAAATGTCTCGACTGTAAAAAGAGAATCAACAAATTTAGAAAGGTGAGAGATCACTGCCACGTCACTGGTAAATATAGGGGTGCCGCACACGCCTATTGTAACCTCAAACTACAAATTAAACCCAGTTGTACACCGATACCGGTCTTTTTTCACAATTTACAAAATTACGACGCGCATTTAATCATGCAGGGAATGACAGAATACGATAGTCAAACAGAAATACAAGTGATCGCTAAAAATTCAGAAAAGTATATTTCGTTCTCGATAGGAAATCTACGATTTTTAGACTCGTTTAGTTTTATGGCATCGTCGTTGGATAAATTAGTGAAAGCTTGTCCAAAAGAGTCGTTTCATCTACTCAAAAAGCATTTTAAACATTCTGACTTGCTATTACAAAAAGGAATTTATCCCTACGAATATATGAACTCGTTTGATAAGTTTCAAGAGACCAGCCTACCACCCATCGGCAAGTTTTACAGCAGACTAAAAGACGAACATATATCGCAACAAGACTACGACAGAGCTCAACGCGTGTGGAACGAGTTTAATATACACAATCTAGGAGAATATCACGATTTATACGTGACCACCGATACGTTATTACTGGCAGGCGTATTTGAAAACTTTAGAAGAACGTGCATTACAAACTACGGGTTAGATCCAGCCAATTATTACACCGCACCCGGATTATCCTGGGATGCTCTATTGAAACACTCGGAAGTTAAACTCGAACTATTGCAAGACGTAGACAAACATTTATTTTTTGAAAAGGCAAAACGAGGAGGTATCTCGAGCGTGGGTGGAATGAGATACCACAAAGCCAATAATCAATATATCGATGACTACGATTCAAACAAACCCTCGAGTTATATCGCTTATCTGGATGCCAACAATCTGTACGGTTGGGCAATGAGTCAATATCTACCGTACAGCGATTTTAAATGGACACCCTCGAAACCGTTTACCGAAGAAAGAATATTAACGCTGAAGAAAACGTCAAACACCGGTTATTGCTTTGAAGTAGACCTCGATTACCCGAACGATCTACACACCAAGCATAACGATTTTCCCCTAGCACCAGAAAACATCATCATACCCCAAGAGTGGATGTCTGATTATCAAAATGAGTTATTGGATACCGAACCTAGTAGCGACGTACAAAAATTAACGTGTACCCTCAATCCAAAACAAAAATACGTGTTGCACTACGTCACATTACAATTGTATCTCAAACTCGGTTTGAAACTAAAAAAGGTACATCGCGTGTTAAAATTTAAACAAGCGCCTTGGATGAAATCTTACATCGACAAAAACACACAACTCCGAACAAAAGCGACCTCTGATTTTGAGAAAGACTTTTTTAAACTGATGAATAACAGCGTGTTTGGTAAGACGATGGAAAACGTTAGAAATCGAATAGACGGTTACCTACTGAGAGACAATAACGAGAGCGATCAAGAAAAATACAAAAAAATAATTCAAAAACCGAGCTATAAAACAACAACGCCGTTTCCAGAATGTGACCTGTCGTTTGTCGAAACGTACAAGACTAAAACCTTGTTAAACAAACCAATCTACTGCGGAGTGAGTATCTTAGATCTATCTAAGACGCTGATGTACGATTTTTATTACAATCGATTGAAAGACAAGTACGGAGATCAAATCAGGTTGATGTATACTGATACGGACAGTCTGTTGATTGTCGTTTACACGGATGACATATACGAAGACATACAATCTCACGGGCAACACTACGACTTTTCAAATTACCCAACAGATCATCCTTTGTACAATCCAATCAATAAGAAAGTGATCGGTAAATTTAAAGACGAGTTTGGAGGTAAGGTCATTCAAGAAGCAGTTTGTGTAAGACCTAAGATGTATTCGATTTTAGCGGATGACAACAACATCACTCTTAAAAAAGCCAAGGGGGTCACAAAATCGGTCACTGACAAAAAATTAAAACACCGGCACTACTACGACTGCATCTTTAAAA